AGCATTAGATCTGGCAGCAGTTTCACTATCAAATTCCTTTAACTCTCCACAGCAACATAAAGAGAGGAAAGGTATTTCAATTCTTAAATTAATCTGTTTAAAAAACATTTGAAAAAGCCTGCATTTAAGAGACTGAGAACTTCTGCTTTGATTGCAGAAACTATGAAAACTGATAAATCAGTGATTTTCAGCAAACCAATTTAAAAAATACAGCTAGCTACAATACAGCTGCTGCAACAAATCTCAGAAAATGGTACTTCACTGAAAACCTACTATGCAAAAAGAGCATATAAAAGACTCCAGTCCTGCTTCTAGTGAAGTCATCACACATTTTACCATTGATTTTAAAAGCACCAACTTCAGCCTGGATACTAACAAAAGCATAAATAAATATTATGGCTATATGCATTATGCATTAATGCCTGAGGAGCTTCCAGCTTTGCTGTGATCTACTCTGATTCTTCTCATCTTCTCCAACAGGGCGAGTATTCAGATGACAGAAACGGTAGGAGATACCAGTCTTCTTTCAAAATGATATGGAATAAAGCATCACTAATAGCATTACTCTCAAAAGCAGATTGTTTCCTGAATGAGACAAATTGTTCTAGGTGGACAGTAGAAATGACCCATGTAATTCTGGAGACAATTTCTTCATAGTTAGCAAAGATCAAAGAAAAGTGCAATTTTTAGATGAAAAAAAGATACTTATTCATTACTTACAAATGACATGTTTTCTTTAGTTCCCCTGTCTTATGGACTCCTATCACCTATTAAGCATTTGAGCTTCTCTGATGGAAAAAAAAAATGTATCGTATACACACTTGTCAAGTTTGTAACAGCATTCATAATACAGAACTACAAATGCAGAGTTTGGGGTTCAGTCCATGTGTATTCACTGTATCTTACCACTATATACTTGTGATTATTATTTATTGTTGTATTCCTCCATTGTACACATCGCACAAAAACAGAGCAATGAATATGCTCTCACTTCAAAAAGTCTAAAATTCTGACTACATTTTTTAAAAGTTATAAAATACAGACATTTAGCACCTCATTTTTTTTTGTACTAAGACTGTAACTATTTCTCACCATTTTCTATGTAGGAATGTGCAAGTCTAGCTGCCATACCAATGTGATCTTTTATTCTTACTTTCCATTTGAATTCAGGGTTAAGAAAAACCCACATTTGCTCCATAGCAAATTAAATTGAGATGTACAGCAAGAAATTTACATTTAGAAAGAAAAAGTGAACTTCTAATAAGGTAGTAAATTTTTTTTTACTTTTCTGTCAAGGCTCTTTGGAGACTGTTTGATCCTGTTCTCTAGTACATTGGCCTCAACGCCCTCTACCATTAGAAAAAAAATCAGCTGCAATGCATACATATTACTTAGTGATTTCCCAAAATAATTGGCAGTATGTACTGTGTATCAGCAAGCAGGCTCAAGTTCAGCTAAGTATTTGACAAACTCAAGGAAGCAAAGCTGTACAATATGAAGATGAAAAAGAAAAGCTGTAGTAGTGGAAAGCTATTTAAAGAAATTAAGTTGCCTTTAACATATCTGTATCTTCTGAGACTATGAGCGTGGTCAGACTTCATCACATTGGACACAAACTGAAACTGCTCAGCTCTCTTCATATTCTCTTCTAGACATACAGAAAGAGAGACGCACAACAATTTGGAACATGATCTTCTAGTACGCATGTCAAATATTCAAATTATATAGCTTCTTCTCATTAGCATTCATTGCCAATGGGCCAACATTCAGGAATATACACAGAAAGAAACCTACTGAGAATAAAAGCCAAGCTGTTTTGCTGCATAATGTACATCAAGGATACGACTTATTAAGACAAAACTCACAAAATGAGTAACTAAGAAGCTTCCTCATGAAACATTAAAAGTGTTTTGTTCTGTAGCCAATCCTCCTGACATTGCAAACTGTCTACACTCCAAAGATGTCCCTGTCCATAAATATTGAACATGTGCTCCCAATGTATTTGCTAAACAATTTGGCACCGTCACTTTGTAAAAGACATTAACTATTAACATAGCTCTATGTCGTAAAGAGGACAAAAAAAATCCTGTGGCTCTTACTTTTCTGAGTAATTTTCTCATTTGTGCCTGGACAAAAGAACAAAGCACCAGAATGATTCCAACCATGCTCACTATAACTGCAATTTAAAAAGAATATATCAATTATGTTGGCAAGCTTATATATATTCCATGTAGAGAAAATGACATCTAGCTACACCAACACATGCAGAAGGAGTTACCAAACTAGCATACAAGCAAGACGTTGTTGGTTGAAAATATCCAAAGTACCAAAAGCCCCTATACTTTTGCCTCCTTAAATAATAAAAACCAGAAATATGATGCTAAAATTCATATACATACGACATGAAAAAATTCTGCTCAAAATACAAGCCCAGTTCTTATCCTCAGTACACTGCCACTCTTGTGAGACAATACAAACCCCATTCCTTGGTTCCTCACAGAAACCCCATCTATTCTATTGGGTGACACTAAATGTAATAAAACAAATGCAACGTTGAAAAACTGACTGTGACCACAATTAGTAAAATGACAGCATTTCATTCAAGCACAGAATCTACTCAAACTGACTGCAATTAATAAATTACAAATGCATCATCTTTCTTTTTCCCATTATGTTTTACAAGTCATTATCCTTAAAGCAGGTAACTCAGTAAAAAGAATTACTACTCTGTTCTGGTTTTAACCTAGATCGCTGCCATAGAAGCTCCTAAGGCAACGGTACGGTATTTTATCTTTGTCTTTGGAATCAGCTAAAAACCTAGGTTCTGCACAACAGTTTATGAAATACAAGACTAAAATGAAACCTTTAAGGAATGTAGATCAGAAATTAAAGGACTGCTTTGCCCCAGCTTGCCAAATGAATAAGAAACCCACCTTAGGAGATGATGAAGCATCTTAAGCTGAATACCAAAGTGTTAACAATGAGAGATAAAACAATGGGTGCATTCCAGCTACTGAAGAAAGCAGAAAAAATATTGCATGTATCTAATCTAGGCATTAAAGTAATACTGTAGCCTTTTTGACCAACCAGCCTGCAAGACTGGGATTCATTTCACCCGCCTCCACCTAATCAGCCCAGGCTCCAGGCTTTACAGTCAGTGAGCACAGCAGCCATAAAACTCGTTTTTTGGAAGGCTACTTTAGTCTGAGACTAATCATACCGCAGGAGTGCCCTTTTTTACCCCTGAGTGAAAAAGGTAGCTCAGGACAACTTGGTGTAAGAGTTCACACTGCGGAGATTCTCATTCAGTCAGGTAAACTGCACCACCAGTAAGACAGGAGACAAACATGCATGTAGTGATTGAATACACATATTCAATGAGTGCCAAGAAAAAGAGAGGAGGAATAGAAAAAAATACGGCGAGTTCATCTGTGAAGCACCTCTAAAAGTAAATGAATCACAAAGCCCAGTTTAAAGGCACAAGAAATGAGACAAATTGGGATAATCTAAATCGGGATTAGGAAGCACCAATCGCTAACGGGTAGAGGCTGATTTGAGCCCTTCACAGTAACATCTATCACACTTTCAATCATCTTTCATGGCAGGAACCACTGTAAATCTGGATGCCTTTGTGGTCCATCTACCATCCTCATCCCAGAAGACAGAAAAGATAACTCAGAAGGTGAAGAAGGTTAGCAACTATTTGCTAATGGGCATCTACTTTATTCACTGCAATGCTCTGCCTCCTTAGAGGCAGAGAAAACAGAAACTGTGAGGAAAGAAGTGGAAGCAAGAGAGACATTTGTGCTAACTGCATAAGAATACTAAAAAAACTTTAGCCCCTGAATACATATTCAAACTAAGAAATGAATCCTGTTTTATGGGTTTAGGAAGAGTCCAGTTATAAAAAAAATAATCCTATCTAAAGGTTTGCAAAAGGTTTGCAAAGGTTTACCTTTCTAAACCACAATGTATCTGAAAATAGTCCAGCATTTTTTATTCTTTTTTCAAACTAGCTAGATATTCACTTTCCCTGAAATAAATTAATACTAAAGCAAGTTAAAAAAATGTTTGATCTTTTCTTCTTAACATTCACACAATGATGTTCAAGGTAAATCTTCTCAAAGCCTGAGTTGCTATACAGCTATAAAACCAGGGACCAATGTGCAATTTACAGAGATAAGTATCCCAATTATCAAGGAAATGCAAGAAATAATAATGCTGTTAGTTACCCTTTAAGAAAGAAAATGAATTCCATGGTGCCATAACTTTTCCTTTTCAGCTTCTACAGATTTCATAGTTGCATAATACTTCCTGTAATCTGACATGCTAACGGTAAGACTGAACAAACAAACTCTGCTCTGTCCTCACATCAGACCTTTTTATCAAATTCAGCTGAAGAACAGATGACCTGTTTCTGCCAAACAGCCCTGACTGGCTTTTCAACAACATCAGGAGAGTTTCTCCGCTCTACCCAGTGGTCCCTCCAACTGTAGCTATGTGGTATCTTTCTGGCAGCACTACGAATTGTCACTCCCCAGATTCTGATCCAGCTGTTTCCAAAATACGCTGCTACAGAGCAATGCTGGCACCCAGCAGGGGCTCTCTTTTCTAGGACAAAAGCCACCCTTTTGAAAGCAGAATATGTTGAACAACAGTAGAATAAACCCTTTCAACAGTTTCTTGTGCAAAGAAAAGTTCCCCCTTGCTTAGTGAACCACAGAGAAGCAAAACTAGATGTTCATTTGGGTTGGAAAACTTGCATGCCTAAGGCCTAGATGGAGCTGTGACTCCTACAGGTAAAGCAATATGAAATACAACGATTTTCAGTTCCCACAGATGGCTATTCAATACAGTTCAAAAACCTGTGGTAGTGCAGTCACATGCGTAAACAGACACTATGAAGAAAAATTAAAGCGTAGATAGATACTCAAAACATGTTCAAAGGTACAGTTGATGATAAATGTAATAAATGTAATGCAATAGCAGTGAATTCTTACTCTTCTAAAGCCTGAAGCATGTTCCCAGATTCTTCAAAGGACAGAATATCAATGATTTGATCATTCATGATTGTATCTTCACTGAAGAAATCACCTGAATTGAACTGAGAATGTTCTAGTTTGTGACTTTGACAGAGCTCACGCTGTATCTCCTAAAAAAAAAAAAAAAAGCAAGCTTCAGGTTATAAAAACAAATTACACTGAGTGTCTGATCTAATTTTATTGCAGGTAACACTGAGTGAGAAGGTTCCTACTAATTATTGAACTGTACAGCTGCAAAGGGTCTAAAGAGATTGTGGAATTCAGGTATGTATCTAAAATCAAATATACTGTTTCAGGCTGAACTTTTTATTTACAACTGATCTGGAATAAAAACGAAGAAATTAATGGAGAAGACAGAAGACTCTATATTGACTTCAGTGGGCTTGTGAAAGCCTTCTAGCAGGTTGCTATCCACTATAAACTTTCTAGGCCGATCTTTTAAAAATTACCACGGTATACAAATTATACATGGCAAAATTACAGTATTACAAGGTGAACAAAATGAAAAACTGATACTATGTATGATGGAAGTGACTCAGTTCACATTTCAGTGAGACTCCCTTAAAACTAACAGCTAATAAAAGTACTATACAAAAAACAAGTATAAATATATGATGCTTGGACCAAACTGGTTCTTTTTTATGGCTTCATTATCACAGCTTTTTCTGTAAAAAGAAACTAGAAATGCCTTTTTTATTTACAGGCATTATTTTTTCAGGCCTAAGAGAAATAAAAATTGTTGATGGAGTAACTTTCAACCGCAGAAAATAAGGCCGGACGTGATTTGAGAGCTCCTTTGGTCCATCCAGAGGGATGGGAGATCCACCATCATCTAAGCAAAGGAGGGCTTCAAACCTCTGAGCACACCTCTTTTAGAGGACTGCTCCAGCCACTGTAACATTCTGAATGAGGTCTCTAGCTCCCTCCTGTTGAAGCTGCTCCACTTTACAGAAATACCTAAACAATTAATAGAAGCAAGGGCTGGAATTTGGGCCAACCTAATCAATATTTATGAGCTACTGTATTTTCTCTCTTCAGCCCAGTATGTACTGAAACACTTTCTCCAAACTAGCACAGCTTGGATAAAGAACATTGAAAATGGTCTATCCCCAAACCCAACTGTTTTGCTTAACCACTCTAGAGATGAAGGCACATCCAAGGAACTAAGACCTAAATTCAAATCACTATTTCGGATAATCAGAAATACAATTTGGACATAAATTGCTGTGCTCAAGGTGAGTGGTCTACTCCCTGGGCAACTGCTTATAACCCACAGACATCCCACCTCTCTCTCATTTTGGGGGACGAAGAGGAGAAGAGGAAGGGAAAAATATGAAAAGAAATGAATAGCCAAAGGGTAATCTCCCTCTAATCTGAAGCTAACGTCCAGGTACCGACAGCAGTTCTTTTGATCAGATTATTATTCTCTTTTGATCAGATTATTATTCTTACACTCCCCTCTAAATCTGATTATGCAAAAGATTAGAAGTTGTAGAGATTACATTACCTGTGAATCCAATCCATCACTTAATGACTTTTTATTTATCTTCAAAAACTGTTCATACAATCTGTATTAGTTAGCAAGTTATATCACCAGATACCATCAGTGAAGAAATTTAAATAAAGTACCATTACAGACGGTATAACTCACCTGGTTTTTACTACGGAATCTCCATTTTAATATTCGGGCTCGGTAAACAATAAAAAGAACAGCACTTGTCAATACAAGGGAAACAAAAAAAGCAATGAAGAACCCTGAAGCATGGATGGCATGGCTGTACGAAACCTGAAATCAGAAACTACATTTTAAATCTATGTAAAGATCAGACTCAAATATTATAGCTGTAGGCAACATAGTACATTATTTTTAAATGGCTTCACACAACTTCAGCGTTTCTCAGCATGAAGTTATAATTACTATATTTTTATTAATATTCTTACTACATTTTTATTAATATTTTCAAACAAGTGTCTATTTTCCATAGGTTTTCAAGTCAGCATGGTTCGTTATGTTCACCTAGTCCAAATTCCTGTGTAACTCCAAGCAACAGAACTCCCACAAATTCAGTTTTAGGTGCCTTGACTTTTGGGTGTCCTTAACAGCCTTCAGAATAAGTATGTAACAGCTGACACAACCACCCCAATTTATGTGCACCCTTGCAATTTCTGCATGAGCCAGAGTCAGAAAAGAACAGCAGGAGCAATAGTACTGCGAGACAGCTAACAACTTTGCAGGCCTTGCACTTTAGCTCTTAATTTAATCTTTAAATTGAATTGCATTAAAAATTAATTTTTACTTCATGCTCTACAATGCAAAAGTTCATTCAGTGTTTGTTTAGATCTCTGAGATCTTTGAATGAAAAGCATAGCACAGCTATTAGTATAATGTTTCACCACAAACTAATCGCTCTACTGCGGCTAGAAAGTGTAAATAATTAACATGCTGCTTGTCAGCTGGGCTTGGTCATCTCTTGGAGCAGAAACCTGAGAGCATTCCATTGAAGTCAAAGGTAATTCTGCATAGGAAGTGATAATCAAATCTGGTCCACAATTCAAAATGATTTATTCCAATTTATCAGCAGAATTTTATCCTTTTACTGCCTAGTTTTTCTCCGATATGTTTTCAAACACTGAAAATCTGTCATATCTCTGAGACAAACTGCTTCACGTTAGACTTTGTTGTTTCACAGGCTCAGCTCCCCAAAGCTGCTGGAGGCACTCGGTGATTTCAGCATAATTTCAGCTGAAATAGGCAACAGTGTCTGTGTCAAGGAGACCATCAAGACGTTACCACAGGCTACTATTTGGCACTTGCAGAGTTCCAAGAAGATGATCCAAGGTTTACTTCACAGTATTGTACATGTAGAATCAAAAATTGCTCTAACAGAGGTACGTTTGGTTTGTTATTTTGGTTTGTTTTGGTTTTTAATGTGTTTAGTGTAAAACAATGAAACCCTCAAGGCACTCTGAGGTTCACTAAAATGTTTTGGGACTAAGTATTTATCTGAGTACAGCCACATGCTGAATTCCTTCTAATACCTTTCAATATCTTTAAGTTTTAAATGGAAACAAGAAAGAAAAGAGGAGCAACACATTAATTTCCCATTTCCATGTGTAATTACCAATGCATTGTCCGAATGTTTTTTCTTGATGTAGCTTCCTACTACTCTGGCCAATTGCTTCTGTTACACTTCCCTGTGCCATGGCCGACCACTAAGGATACTTTAGTGGATATCTCCATCCGTGGCAGTACCAACTCCCTCCTTCTCTGCACTGTACCCCCAATTCCTTGCCATGAGCTCAGTTAAAGCTGCATCACCTTGCATCATAATATCTTCATCTTGAAAGATGACTGAAAATATAAAAAAACTCCTTTCCCTAACCCAGTGTTTGGTCCCTTCACAGATCAAAAGCGTTTAGCCCACAACCCTTGACCAGTCCAGAGCCAACAAACATCTGTGCGTGACTTGGAAAAAAATGCAGTTCCTCTTAAGTCACTCTGCTGTGCCCAGCTTCTTGGGTTGCACTAGGTGGCCAAAAGGGAATCGCAGAAGGGTTCTCCTTGTGCTCTGCCACACGAAGGCTCTGCCAGACGTCCCACTGCTTTCAAAGAACAGCAGATGCTGCAGATACTACTTACGGAAAAATGCTGCTTTGGATCCACTTCATAATTTTGTCTGAATTTACTCACATTTGTCTAATCTCCAAGCACTTTGAAATTTAGGGATCTCTCTAGGCTTCTGGGGAAAGCAGGAATCTGGTGAAGCTATGGGTTCAGTGAAGCTGAAAGGAAGCTGGTTAAGTTTTGATGCAGAAAAAGCACTGTCTAGGGAATGATCTAGTGCTCTAGTGCTTTTTAAGTAAAGTAAAAGATAACACCTATGGCAGGACAGTCAGTCTGCATCTGGGCAGGCAGTTCTGTCAGAGGTCAAGCTCCGACGGAGAAAAATGGACAGGGAATTATCTGTGCTTTTACACTTTAAGAAAATGGGTTCTGGAAGTCCATGTCATTAGGGGGCTGTAAAGCCAAGCAGGAGGACGCTAATGGCATCTGAAAGCATCACAGCAGATGCTGCGAGGCACGGGCCAGAGCCCCTGCACAAGCCATGGCATAGGACCAGTGTTGGCACTGCAGGCCGACCTCCAAACCACTGACACACCAGCAAGCCTCAAAACCCACATCCTCAGCTAAATTCCTAAGCCATCCCAATAGTGGGAAGAGGCATTAAAGGCCCAAATTTCTTTCAAAAACCGCTGTGCTCCCACCGATTTGAAGGATGCTGAGGGAAGCAAGGCTGGTAAAAATCAAAGTAATTATTATCATCCATCCCATGCAACGTGCTGAGATGGGAGAACTTCCTTCTGTCCTTGTCACTACAGCTTCCCGCTCAGCATCAAAACCCCCCAGCCCCGAGCAGCGGCACGCACCACTCACAGCCCCTGCAGCGCTGTGGGAAGACATCTGGCATGGACACGCAGATGAGCAACACTCACATTTTTTCACAACCCACAAAATCACCTGTCACAAGCAACCAAGCACTTTCTTCCAATGACACAGAAAAGAAAATCCACAGGGTTTGTAAAACTTTAAAGAACAGCTCAGTAGCCAAGTGTGCCAGCAAAACCATGTGAAAGCTGACGGGACCAACTTAGCACGGTGCTGTCACGACTACAGAATTCATTCTTCTCTTTTCTGTCCCCAAGGTCAACAATTAGTATCCACTTAGTCACACGTGTGTTGGCTTCACCACACCCATGAACAGGTTTAAATAATTATTTTTAACACATAAAATCTGAGATTAAGAGCATTTATGACAGCTGAACATATGGACGAAATGCAATACATCGCACCTTTTTCGGCTGATCATAATTTCCTTGCACAAACTGGTTTCATTCTGGAACACCTTACGTTTGGCCACAGCCCAAAGGCAAATATTCTGCATGTGAAACATGATGTGTTCCGTAATTTCTAAGCTTTATTTTTCAAAAATTAACCGTACTTTCCACAGACCTTTATCACACATTTTAATTAACAAACCCTGTTCATTTTGTAAGATCAAATGCAGCTGAGCTAATTTTACCTAGCTATGGAATAGTCCCCAAGAACTTCTTCAGGTCTCACTTTTCACGGTGGGCTGAGACCAATGTAGCTTACAGTCTTAGCTTCGACTTCACCAACTGCTGCAGATCAATTCACATTGAACCCTACAGAAAACCATTCATGAAGCTATTTTCCTAACCCAGTCAGCTATAGTATGGCTTATACATTTAACACTAAGAGTTTCCAAAATATACATCTATTGTAATTCCAAGCAAAATTCTTAGCTATACAAACATCTAATCCTTTTAAATCTTACCAGATCTTTACCCAGGAACAACTAGTTCTCTAGCTCATGCACAGTTTTACTTGATCTCATGTTTAATACCGTCTTTCATTTTAGCAGAATGGGCACTTGATCTTCCATTATGAGAAAGTCAAGTCTAGACTTAGATCTATTGCACTAACAGAAGCAAGGAGGGCAAGAGATCCCCAGCAAAAGAGAATTCTGGAACAAGAGGCCCCATGCCCAATCTCCAAACAGACTACCGATCTTGAAGGCAGAGAGGAACTCATGGGACAGGCCCATGGGAGGAATGAACGGTCTAGTCCTCAGAACCTCTTCAGGCAAGACCCATCTACACGAACTTTAGATTTCAAGTGATACAACCATGGCAAAAACTTTCTGGAGTGAAATAAACTATTTTCTTCTGCTCGAACACAAATAATCACAGTATTCTTGCCAACCAAGCCACAGCTCCTTAAAAAAAGACTCCTTGCAATACAGCAGCCTGTCAAGGTAATGAGGTGTTGGGGGAGAAAAGCAGGTTTAGTGAAGAGATTACTCCAGCAACGAAACTGATGGAGGCAGTGGGGAGTTCTCTAACAAAAAAATATCTAGTAGAATAAAACTGTTTGCTGAAATCAATGTAATTTTGAAGGTTTATTTGGCCTCTTAGAAACCATGTTAATTCAGAAGCCAGGAACAGAAAGTCATATTGAAAGGATGACTAGTTAAAAAACTAAAAGCAAACAGACACTATGCCTCTCCTACTGCAGTTTTCTCGGGCTCCCTACACAGCTGGGTTTTTTTTGTGTATCAGCATGATACAGAAACCTTTTCTCAATAGGTGGAGGATAAACTCCACCCTTTTGGAAAGGCAAAAAGCTTTCTCATGATGGCTACGCACATGAGCATATGAACATATTCCTCATCACAGTTCTCTGTGCCTGGACAACTCTTCAAGTTAAAAAACATGGCTAGGAATATAATGGAAGTTTTTAGAATTTCCATACTAAATACTGCGGCTTTAAGACAACAAAGACCCCCCTGTCTTGACTTCTGTTTTCTCCCTCTTAAAATCAGAAAAGGCAGAACTTGTGTATGATTAATAGCCAATAGCTGAGTGATGAGATGTAAGTACATCCTCAGCTCCTAGGATTTAGTTTAGATTGTCCATAAGTTTAAGCAGGGGAGTCAATATAATACCAAATCATAGAATGTACCTTGGTCTTTTCTTCTTCAGTTATGGTGAACAATGCTGTCAATGATACGAGATGTGTCTTATTCTGAGAGAGATAAAAAAATAATACGTGTATTACAAAAAATGACAAGAATCCACTGTCTAACAGCCCAGAGTTTCTAGAAAAGCTTCTCCTTAGAAGATGAGCTATACTTCTCATTAAGCTTAAAGCTGAAATAAATCTGATCGGAAAATGCAGTGTACCTAGGAGTAACACTAACACAGATGGAAGCAACTGCTCTGTGGGATATACTCCCCCTTCTAATCACAGAAAGACATATTCCAGTGCTCACAGAATTACATTTTTCTGTGGTTATAAAACCTGGATTGACTGAAAATGCACAGAACAGGAGACCAAGTCAGTGCGTATGTCTCTACTCTTACGACACCATGTTTTTTGAAGTCTTGCTCTCTACCACTCTAGTACCACATGCACATTGAACACCTTTTCCTCCCAAACAATGCAGATACAGCAGTTGAAATTAAAGTACACCTGCAGGTTCTAAGTACCTGCAATTATGAAAACCATAGAAAAAATATCAAGCCATATTTAAGGGTCAGAAAACCTTACTTTGGAAGAAATGACTTGACCTGCCTCCTTAGTCCTGCCTTCTATTCAAAGCTGGGCTCACTCTAGCATTAGACCAGTTGTCTCAGAGCCTGGTACAACTGAGTTCTCAAAAATCACCAAGGATGGAGATTCCTCAGCTTCTCTGAAAAATCTCTTTCGGAGCTTTGCAACTCATACTAAAAATGTATCTTCCTTATGAGCAAGCAGGTTTTCCTTTACTGCAACTTGTTTTTTGGTTAAAAGAAATTTTCTGCTAAAAATGTGGAAAAACTTTCTATCTCTCACAGACTACAGGAATACATACATAAGTATGTGGAATATCATTACTTCCAGGATACACAGATAAATGGAAGAGAAATACAAAAAGAGAAAAGCTACAGGTCAAAATACAAAAATACTTCACCTATTTAAGGAAGTCTTGGACTTCTAAGCTATGAAGAATAACTTGTGTATTTATAAATTCATGGTAAGCAATCAGAGAGCCTAAGAACCTCATTTGATTACATGCAGCCCTCATTGCTTAGGCAGACAAGAACCACCTCGGAGACTATTTTTTACAAAAATTGTGAAGAGTGAAATAAAACTGTAAAGGAAATACCTGTGATGAACTCCTGAAGGTTAGCTTTGCAGGCAGTGTCAAGACCCTGCCATCCCATATTTCTTTTGCATCAAGAAGGGCAGAGTAGTTGAATGCAAAGTACTCTCCACCTGTTAGAGAAAAAAAACCAATTGTGTAGATCAGGCAGGTGAGGTGCATCTACCAGTTCAACAGTGGCCTCTAAGTAATTGTGTCTGCATTTTCTCAAACAGAACAGTAGCAGTACGAAACCTTTCCCACAGTTTTTCACCTGTATTAACTGATAATCAGAGAATCTACACCACCATAACTAACTAAATTAATGTCATGATTTGAACAGATGCTCTTCCACGTGTGTAAGCAGGGGTATTTCCCTGCAGATTTTCTTACCTTGCAAGAATCTTTTCCTGTAAATCTGTATACCATCTGTGGTCTTATTACCACTGGTTTTTTCAACATGTAGACCAGTTATATTGTCCAGGAGGATAAGATCTGTAATGTTTGTTGAGAGCAGCGTGTTGGTGTTATTAATCAGAAGTGTAATGTATGCAGTTCGAGGGTCATGCTCAACATCCACCTGAAAACAGAAATATTAATCTTAATGGTGCAAAATGCCTGTATGTGCATCTTAACCGCAAAAATTGTGGTCTTGATTACTAATTAAAGTTCATTGTATGAGTCAAGTTATTTTCTGAAGGCATTCGGTGCGACTTGCAAATGGCACTACACTCAGTTTGATCTCCAACTACGAAGGAGATTTTAATCTTCAGTATGTCAAACTGTTGCTTGGACACAAAGAGACAGAAATCCAGAAGCTGGAAACTCAGCTCACGCAGAGCCAAAAGTGAAAACCAGAATCTGAATATTCCCATTATACCTCATACAACACAGAACTGATCATAACTTTAAAACCAGAGTCTGGAAAATTCTTCTGCAACCACCTGAACTTCTGTACCACGAGGACATTTCTTTTGCAAGCTGCCCTCACTGCAAATTCTTTCTCTCCGTGCAATTTTAGTCTCTATTTCCCATTTTTCGCTGCAACCACACTCTCCAAAGGGTGCTGACTACTTCGATTTGCCCCTCCCATGGGAGGGCTGATGGAGCCACCAGTGCACTTGGAGTTCATGGCTCTGCTTCCAATTAGTGGTGAAGTTCATAAACTAATCACCAATCTCTAGCAACATGCACTGACGTAATTTTATTTATTTATTCCACTAGGCCATTAACTCTTATTGAGTAATAATATCCTCTAAATGAAATTACTCTGAGCACAGAGTTGCTTACTAACCACTCACCTTCCAAATAGCTTTCTCTTATAACTCGTATCAAACCAGAATTGTCTAAAAATTTATCAGCTCTATAATATGCTGGCCTATAGTATAGTCATGATAGCATTATGACACCAAATTAACACTTATCTAACTGACCCAAGTTTGATTCAGGCCAAGCCTTTCTTTTTTCTCTCCTCCTCCTTTTTAGGAAATGTCTACTCTGTTTTTGGACACCAGCAAATATAAATCAAAGGAGCCCCCACAGAACTGAGTTCTAAAAATACGAATTGTGATAGACTTCAGAAATCACACCAGAGTCCACCGCAGCCACTGGGTTCGACGTGCATAGTTATGTTTCCACTATGCACCATTGATCTCTGCATTTTGTACTAATTCAGTATAGAAACAGATTTCAGTTTTAGGAGAATCTTAAGAATCAAGCAGAAGAAACAGTTTATTGAAATTATTATTGCTTAGTTTGCATTTTCTCTATTAAAGTGACAATAATTAAAGTACCTTTGAATAAATCTGTAATTCTCCTTGGTATACTACACTAAATTTTCCAAACTCATTACAGCAACTTCAACCTCAGTTGTACTAAGAAAATCTTATGGAGGAAAAACCCCAACTATTTATTGTACTAGATTCTGCAAATAATTGTCAGCATGTACAAAAATTGGCTTAATCATATCTGTGAGGAAAGCATTACCAATTTCTTATGTTTATATATAACGAATTATACCCCAACATTTATGAGTCTTAAAAATCAACAAATACTAAATATGTGATATATTTTGGGCTGATTTTCTCTCTCCTGGTTTCTGAACTGGTATGATGCAGTCAGCATGCCTTTCAACCTTTCCTGTGCAGTCACAAAGGTGAGAAACTTGCTTTAAAAACCACAAACAAAATCAAAGAGGGAAAAAAGCCTCAAAGCTGCATAAAGAAAATCCAAAGCCACAAAGCAGAGGCCCTGAGCCAATCACTAAAACAAGAAAACACACCTTGAAAGATTCAAGGTTCAAACTGCATGCGTTGTTAATACTCTATTAAGCTCCACAGTAAGTGTGGATGGGCTTGTGTAGACAAACATCTGTGCACCAGCAAACGAGGGAGCCAGGGAAACAGGGAGATAGAAAAAACTTTTTCCTCCCTTCATCTTCCCCTGTCTTTCCCTTGCTCTTCTGTGAGATACAGGCATAGAATGAGGATTTCAGGGTCTCTTCCTGTGCTTCTAATCAGGTACAAATATATTCCTTTGCATCTGGGGAGAGTGGATGTAAACAGTAACTTAGATAAATTCCTACAATAAAATAGGCAGAGAAAGTAGCATGTGTATATTCACAGGCAGGTGGGGGAATATGGCAGAATCAGTCCTCTCCTTCCCCTAGGCAGGAGGTTTAATGCACACTTCCACACACTGTACATTCTCCTTCTCAAACCAGTTTTGCACTTTTCCTTCATTTTGTTTCATTTAATAAACTTCTTAATTCAATGACTAAACAAAGCAACCCCTCAGAGGTACAACAACTGCACCGCCTATCTCCTACCACCATCTTCCACAGGTGGCCAAAATGATGCATTTTTTGCATTTCTGATTAACACTAAATACATATTTTGCATTCTGTATTTTTGACTGGCAGTCAGTTTTAAGCTAAATTTCAAAGCGGTTGAAAGAATTTGGATTTTTTTTTTCCTGGTGGCACTGGAGACAGCAGCAGACGAGAATCATGCAGTAGGGAAGCCCTTGGGTTTGGCCTCTCCTAGAATGTCCTCCATATGCCGCTGCCATTGGCTTCAGCGGCCACTGGGTATCTCCTTTCAGTTGCTCCTCTAATTTGCCTGAAGCTGTTTCTTCTTGCATTTGGAGCAGATGATTGTGCTGCCAACCATCTACAGGAACGAAATCCAACAGCAGCCACTGATGACACATCAGCGCATACTCCATTTTCTCTCTGCTGTTGAAGCACACAGTGTGCGTCTTCATCCCCTGCAAGCGAAGTCACCTCAGGTCTCTGGGAGAGTGGAGTGAAAGAACCACAGCAACAGCAAGAACATGCTGTGTTAAAAGCCAGACAGTCAAATTTAATTTACTCCAGCTCTATCATCATTGTCATTATGAAGTACTATTGCAGAAAAGTTCATGTTATGCTATGGAATGAAGCTCTTAAAGGACCACATTTCTGGAAAGAAGGAAGGGACTGGGTGCTGGAAGTACAGGTAAAATTTAAACATCCCAGTTTCCCTAAGTGTGTTTCTGCGACAAGGTGTTGGAAAAATCCTGACTCCAAGAAGTAAACATATGTCATCCCCATGCTCTGAGGAGCCACTCATGGTAGGAGGAGGAAAATGTGCAAAATTCACTTATTTCCATTTAAAATAGCTAAAGACCACCATATGGTCAGTCTGTCTCTTAGCAGTAAAGCATCTGTTCAGATGAATTAGGATTAAAGGAGATGACAAGGTAAGCAAAGGAAAATAAAACGTGAACCGCATTTGAAGGTGGAAGACAATCACAAACAACTGCATAGTTTTGAGTAATTTACAACTAATAGCACTGCCAAATTACTTTCTGAATATCCTAGCATCTACAACAGGCTAACTTTGACCTTGTACAGCAGGATTTCACAATTTTTAATGAGCCTGTGTGAGGCTGTGCTATGAACAGCGGGAAAATAACCAACGTGTAACTGTCTCCAACTCTCTTTCTGAGAAGCTCTGATATAAAAATTGGGAATCTACAGCCAGAAAAGGAGAAGATTCTGTGTTACTGCTTCTTATGTCGGAAATGCTCACTATTCAGCCTCATTAATTATGATATGCAGCCATTTCAGTAACAACATTATAGGTAATTAGTGCCATGAGATGTGATGCATATTCATTCTTCTCTATGCAAATGCTTTGGTGCAGGTTATAATGTCACCTCTTCTGTACCGGCTGCTGAATCCTCCAACCTCACACGCAGCATTTCAGGGGCTGAATTTAGATTTGTCTTACAGTTGGATGCGTTTTCTCTCTCCAAGGGACAGGTAAGATGAACTGTCCCTAATTATAAAAATTCAGACTTGCTTCATCCAGTGTGAAAAAAAAAGGGTGAAAAAAAAAGGAAGGAAAAATAAGTAAAGGGAAATCTACCAACCTGTGCCACATCATGTAAAAATAAAATGGAAAGTTTAAAATTTCCTTATAGTAGGGAGGACTTTGCTCCTCATAAGCATTTTACACAAGTCAAATGAAATCTCCTTTTCATTAAATACCGTGCCGTAGCTGAGTCCTACTGAATATGCAGACTGGGATGCATAGGCCCTTCTATGGCTGTGTGATAGGGTGCCGGAAGACACAGTAGGTGTGGGCATCACAGGGCTCAGCGCCCCATCCTTTGCAAGGAGTCCACACTTGAGACAGGTTGGGCACCCATGGTTGAGCCAGGACAGTATCTCAGAAGCCTTCTCTCATCCCCTAAAGAAGTTTAGAAGTTTGTCTATATCTCTACCCTGCCTTATGGCTGATTAGTCTAGAGTTCGCTGGGCTTTGGTCATTTATAGTTTTATAAATTCACACTGAAGTATTTACTTTGACCACAGCCTAAAATCCCGTGAAGTCTGAGAGATTTCACTGACTTCCTTCAGTTTTGAATACACATTGTAAAACTGCGCCTCTTACAGAGGGTGCGACCATCTTATCATCAAAATGGACATTCTCCTGAACGCTCAGCATGGCCATAATTCTGTTCCCACTTCCTAAAGGATATTTGGGTACAAACTTCCTATCAAATTAACACGACAAATGTAAGAAAACTTACCACACCACATTTCTGAAGGGTTATTCCAAATTCAGAAGACACTGACATATTGGACGCATCTTCAGGCTGTGGAGGAAGGGGAAAAGTCTACACAGTGCACGAAAATATCTCATTAACAAACTGCAGCACAGGTTAAATTATGTAAATGATGAAATTAGAAAAAAATATTTAGAGGTATTAATTGCCTTCAAATTTAAGAGCTTTGCTATCACGACAGTTAATTTTTTTTCCTAGTCCAAATTTGTATGAACTACTTATTCTCACAAGAAATTACTAGTATCTTATTTGATATATTCATCTTATGGCTATCACAATTCCCTCACAAAATACACTATTCACAAAGTCCATCAGACTATACAGATGCGTTTCATTACTGTCTATCAGAATTTACGCAGCAATCACATAGCTGTATCTGTCACAATAACTATTTGGAAGTCTCACAACTAGTTGGTGTTGCTGAAGCCATCTCAAGTGAACATAATCAGCTGAGATAGAACCAGAAACATACTAACTGCGTAGTATATTTTCAGCAACATTCACTTGTGATATAATTGCTACAATCCATACAAATATTAAAAGTGGCAAACCATCTTTTACTGACCAGCTGGTGGTCAACAGAAGACTCTCGTTTGAACAAAATCTTCTTTGTCCATGAGGGTATCAAAGCAAACAGTGAATGGCTCCACTGATCATCCGACGCTGCCGAAGTCAAGATCTGGTGAGGGGCTTCACTTTCTTGAATGACCAGAGGCAAGGGCACTGCTGAAAACCAAGGCAACACTCTGCATTAGAGCTAACACTGGCTCCTGTGCTTCAGCTGCTTGGTGCACATCAACCCTGGCAGATTCCAGCCAGCGATGGAGCTTGTGGTACCTGGCACTCTGTGTGCATGCAGCCATCAGCACGGCCTCCCACAAAGCACTTTAAATCTATATAGGCAACAGAGACATGAGGCCAGATAGGAAACAGAGGTGGGATTTGCCCCATAAAACCGAGCAGGAGTTAGAATAAAACTGTTTTCTACCCAGGGAATTCATATACACCCTACAGAAACCTTCTTGCCATTTAAATGTAAAGCGTCTAATGCATGAATTGAAAGGTTTTGACCTTAAATCAACTGTAATATTCTCAACACAAAGAAATTTTCAGCAAAGCATAAATAATTGAAGCACTCTGCAACGTAAATGGTCTCCGTGCTAAGGGTGTTCTGCATCAAAGACACAGTCTGCCAGTTAACCATTAACCATGCCAGTACATATCCAGAACAAAAATACTTCTCAGTTGAGTAAGGGTCTCTGTTACATTTCAGCTGGAGTGCTCGTCAAATTAGAAATAAGTGATATAAATGCTAGCTTGTGCTCTTATAACTTTATAAAAGATTAGTCCATGATATCACACAAAATTACAAGAACAGCTTTGAAATCACATCACTTTCATCTACTAAAGTAAAAGCATCTATGACATTAATAATAGGATCTTATATTAAAAATCAATAATTTAATATACTAAATTGTCAAAAGGTAAAGCTGCTGAATGAAGAGAAAAAAGTCATGAAAATTGCAAAATGATAGTTGGCTGTTTAAAGAAGATAGTTTTTTCATTCTTTGCATAACAGTCGTCATTTATGACTTCTTTTTAAATCCCATATTTTAATCATTAGCAATATATATTCATGCGAACAAAAACTCTCATTGAAAAGCAAAGATTTTTGGCAAATGACATTCTTCTATAAAGCTTTCATTTTTAAAATACCTATTATAAGTTAATGAAATAGGAAAAGCTGAAGATACTAAAATCTCATTAATACGAGAAGCAGCATTTTTTTGAAAAGACACTGCTTTGTTGGAAGAACAATATAGAGAAGTACTGTTAGCTGTAAATAGAAAAGACATGCACAGAGCGTTCAGAATTGGACCCTTAAAAGGAGGTCCCGTAAAGGGCCTTGAAGCATTGATGCACATGAATCTATGAAAAGATTTCTGTTAACATAATGAATGAGATCCAGTCCTGCTGCTTACAGAACCCAGATGGGCACATGCACCCTGGGAAGCTTCACAGTCCTCCCATGCTGGAATACCATACTATTTGGGAGGAAGTGGTTTATATTGGACAAAATTGTGGATATATGGGCCAGGGAAAGCTAGTTGTTTGTAGTTTACAACCAGTTTTAATTCACTTCTCTAAGTTTTAGTCAAAAACATAAACCACTGTTAATGCAACAGACACAGGCTAATTTAAGGACTGCAAAAATAACAAGGTAAACTTGTTGAGAACTGTAATATGTATAATTACAATACCAAACGTCTGCATATCTTTGGGGCTGGAATTTTTTAAGGGTAGTCATGCATGGCATATTTCTGTTTCACAGCTAAGCAACAGCCCTGTTTCGAGACTACGCAACAGCCCAGACCACGCAGGATGACACCAGCGCTGAACTGTAAGCGCAGCACAGACCCGTCAGCCACCAGTCTGCGACCACTTGGCCGTGGCACTCCCCAGCAGATCCAAGTATTATACTATATCCCACCTCCAATGGCTCTAAATCTATGTTCTGAGTACTGAATCCAGCCTCTCCGCAGTTTTGTACACCTACATCCAAACATTGAAAAAGATTTGGTTTATATTTGCTGTGTCTCTCATATTTTCTTGCAATTGCCACCCCATTCCTATGGAGGGAGAGCACCAATTCTCCTTTTTGCTTTCTTGCCAGACTACAGGAGATACACTTTCCTTTACAGTAAACAGAAACCCTGACTGAAGACGTGGAGCTTCTTTGTAGGGCTTCATAAGACTCAGAAGTCAAAACAGCAAAACGTACAGACTGGGCTGAGCAACTACTGCCTTCAAAGTGCTTCTGATTTAGTAGATCATTTCCTTCTGCATTTTGGATGAGGGAGGTAAGCCAACAAGAAGGGGGTAACTGCTCCATAAAATATCTTTTGTTCTCATGCCCTATGCAGCATGACATCTCCATCAGCACACCCCAGTGTACTTTTCATGTGACAGCAAATCCTGATACTCCCCTCTGGAGAGTATCAAGCCCACAGTAACCAATTTAATTAACTGATCATGTTCTTTGACTCTCAATAAATCTCTGGATTACTAATTACACAGATGAGTCTGTTTTCAAGTTGTGCTTTGTCACCACTTACATTCCCGAGATAATGTGCCCAGCTCCCAGCAGAAGTCTCCAGGCATGTTATTTGGCTGCTCCATCTTTGGTAACTGGAGGTTGAGGATTTTGCAGGTTCTTGATACTACGTTAAGCAGCCTCAAAATTGATGATGATCACAAGGATACTTACACAAATTCACTTGCATCTTCCCAGCACTCAGTGGAAGGTTTTGCTTAAACAGATTCAATTAGTGACACATGTCCATAGAGCAACATGTGCCACTGCCTTCCTCCAGATTTTTTCTCATCCTTCCTCTTATTTTTAACAATATAGGCTGTTTTATAATACACTGGATTCCCTTGCCAGTAAAGCAGCACTTTTCTGTCTCATTATTTTTTGTAGTATTGACTGTCAGATAAATAAAATAACTTTTTCCTGATCCACATACATTTAACTGTCACGAGAACATCATACAGCTCAGTCCAGCTGACCTACAAGAACATAACAGCTTTTCCACGCAACTTGCTGCATACTCTTAACATCAAGGAAACATAATTGTGTTTATCAATTCACCTGCTGCCTCTTTTCAGATAAGGTCCTCGATGGATTGTAGATGGCTGATGACTGCTTGAAAAGCTCAGCACTGAATATCTGAGAAAGGACGGTACAGGTGTAATACATTCTGTGGTTTTCACATCCATTCTAGATTTCCATTCTGCAATTGTTGGGTTTTTTTATAACAAATAGATTCATCTGAGGTTGGAAAACACTTATACTTGACTCTTGAGGTCTTTCACTAACAAGCACCAAGCTTTCTTTTGGATGCCCTGCTGCTCAGAAGTGCGACCGCACCACTCTCAGTGCCTTTCAGAGGTGCATCCCAATTCTGACACCGACTCCGCCATCTCCTTGTTCCTTCCAGTCTCTTTTCTTCTCACAAGGATACTTACGCAAAGCAAGTATTTTCTTCTCACAGCTTCAATCTTTGCCGGTTTTCTGGCTGTTTTCAGAAAAGCCATTGTCAGAGCTGCATGGTCTTGACTTCCATTAGTTTCTAAATGGAAGCTATTCCCGTTCTTTTTCAAAAGGGAAACTTTGCAAAGCAGGGGAACAGTTTCAGCTCTACACAGAGCCTGAAGAGCCCCCTCTCTGCTGAGCTTGCCAGGCTGCCACCGGGCATTCCCACCTGGCATTCCTGGAGCACAACGCCTCAGGCCAAAACATTCCCAGTGAGCAAACTAGCAGAGCATGAGGCTTCACCTGGGGCTTTCCTGCAAACATCTCCAAAGATGCCAAGTGAAACGGTTCATCAAAGAAAGGCAGCAATTTCACTTTCGAGATGCGAGACAATCTCACCATCTTTAAGATTAAATTATCTCTGTTTTCCTTAATTAAACATTCCACATTTTTATAACGTATTATTAAGTTGTTAAACACCTTATCTTACTTTTAATTAGCATGTTACTAAAATGTTTTCCCGTGATTTAATCCTCCATAAACCAAATATAAACAGATATGCCAGAACCCTGTCTTAAACTGCATATTCCTAGCTAACTACCAATGCTGGTAGGTCAACTTTGTGTTGAATTACAAAATTAAATCATGAAAATAAATATTAATATATCTGAAACAGATGGAAGATTGGTGTAACATTTTAGCACTCACAATACTACAGCATTCACTCGGTGCCACACATGCACAGTGCCACAGCACTATGAAACCACAAGTGCACAGCTGATCAGAACAGTGTCTGCTATCTAATGCTGTTCAATTTTCTTTGCTGTTCTCCCCAGGCAGTCATTTGCCACTCCTCAGCTTTATGCACTACTGCTTTGGGTGGCGATCCTTTGCTCTTTCAGAACTCCAGCAGCCACACCGAAGGCACAGGCAGCACACTCAGGAAGAAGAGCTCCCCACTCCCAGCTCTCGCTTGCTGCTTCGGGTGTGCAAACACAGGATCCGAGCTGGTACACAATGCACCTACTGTATGGAATCTGTGGCGACGGTGCGACTGTGTTCCTACAGACTGGGGGGGGAAGGATGGGTATCTAAGAAAAGAAACCATCCTGTTTGTGGTCTGCATACTGTCCTTTGCTAAGAAGTTAGTTCTGAGTAACGACAGGGACCTTCAGTGCTAAAGCACAAGCATTTACCACTGGACTAAACGGGCTGAGTCCTGAACATGTTAGTGACACAGATGGACTGCCATTAGAAGGGTTGGTATGACACTACAGTGCCTTACTTGTTCGTGACAGAAGTTAAGAGTGAAGGTTATTCTTGGCCATGGCAATTAAATGGGATGATACAAAATTAAAATAGTCTTGCAACAGGTTTGCAGCAGAGACTCCAGCATGTCCTTAAGGCTCCCATACCTTTACAACACATCCTAACCAGTCAAATTGCAGTAGGAAAGTGAAGACTCTGACAAGTTTGTGAGATGTCAAGTTCAGAATTAAAAATTGCCGGACACTGAGAGGAAAAAAAAAGCAATTTAAGTAAGACAGTGATTCTAATTCTTAGCTCTCGAGGGCTGTGTATTTCAAGTCCCACCTCTGCAGTGTGATTTGCTTTCCCCCAGAATTTACCAGCAAAGCTTTGAATAATCTTGCTTTATTTCAGTGGGGAATAAAAGAGTTAAATATACTTACTTACTATATTTCTGTTGTTGTTCTGAATTATTCCCTGTCCTGAGAACCATCCAGGATGCAAGATCCAGTTTGAAGTCCTTTCAATTACACACCACAATGAACAGGCAAAGGTAGTAATTTACTGTATTTCAGTTTTGAATGTTGCCATTAACTTTTTTTGTTACAAAGGCAAAGAAACTATGGGCACCAACAAGACAAAACAAATATACTTTCCAGGCCTGTTCTGAGTAAGTCAGAGCAAACTCAAACATAACTCTCAAATATCCATTGTGTTCCCCAATCACGGGGCTATTCTGGGATTGTTTTTTCTCATATTACCCAGAAATAACTCGAAAAAGCTTCCAACAGATACCCCGAGATCAGTGTGCTGCCACAAACCATTTCACTTCAGCAAACTGCCATTTTCAGTGACAAAAGTTTTATGCAGAAGTTCCCATCTCACTGCTTTCACTGAGAACTTCTTCAGCAACAAATAGCATCCAGTACCTTGATTAACTGAACCACTAAAAACTTAGTTTTAAATATTAAAAATTCATGTTTATTAGAGTGGGACAATTCTCAGTTATAAAATCAAGCATACAATTCAGTGCTTGTAGGAGTCCCTCATTTAACATATATATTACCTACTAACAAAATAGCAGAGTTTCATAGAATCATACGAATCATTTAGGTTGGAAAAGACCTGTCAGATCATCAAGTCCAACTGTAAACCTTACATGGCCAAGTCTACCACTAAACCATACCCCTAAGTGCCACCTCTGCACATCTCTTGAACACCTCCGGGGATGGTGACTCCACCGCTTCCCTGGCCTGTGCCAGTACTTGATAAAAATGTCTCTCGGTAAAGACATTTTTCCTAATATCCAATCTAACCCTCCCCTGACACAACTTGAGGCCATTTCCTCTGGTCCCATCGCTAGTTACCTGGGAGAAGAGACCAACAGCCGCCTCACTACAACCTCCTTTCAGGTAGTTGTAGAGAGCGACAAGGTCTCCCCTCAGTCTCCTCTTCTGCAGACTAAACAACTGGAGTTCCCTCGGCCGCTCCTCATAAGGCTTGTTCTCTAGACCCTTCACCAGCTTTGTTGCTCTTCTTTGGACACGCTCCAGCACGTCAATGTCCTTCTTGTTGTGAGGGGCCCAAAACTGAACACAGTATTTGAGGTGTGGTCTCACCAGTGCTGAGTACAGGGGGACGATCACTTCCCTACTCCTGCTGGCCACACTATTTTCAACCACAAACAGAAAGGATAGGGCATGTCAAAATCCTCCAATTACCCCACTTTTTCTTTAGTGTCAGAAGGTTTTTCTGAACTACAAAACTGCATGCTTTTGCTCTCTCAGTGGATGGTACAATAATCATTTGCAACCCATCAGAAAGCAAGATATGAGCAGCAAAGATGACACTGAATAAATACAGGAACAAAACAATAAAGCTCAGCAAATCTGAATTATTTGCTTTCATATTTAAATTAATAAACTCATTTGTGAATTAGCCATGGCACAGGGCAAAGAAATTAGAGGCATCTCACTAGACGACTGCTTCAGAGCGTGTAATTTCTTGGCAAATACATGTCACGAAATCACCTCTTGGGGAACCACAGACATGAAGGGGGGGTCTATTTCAGACATTGCATTGCCCCTGTTAATGAGCCACATGAGGATGTTGTAACCTTTCAAGGTACTCATCTCCACTACACTTGGGTGAGGTAGCACATGATTTATTATACACCTACAGAGAAAACAAAGACCAGAGACTCAGAGAAACTAAGTGATTTATTCAAATGTACACAAAGAGCCTGTGGCAGTCAGCCCTCAGATGCAGCTCCTCCAAGCTGTAAGGGACTTCTCTAGGTATCAAATTAAGCAGCTGCCACTGGAGATACTTGGTGTATCCGAGACCAGTGACAAGGATACTTCATAACCACTGTAAAGAATATTAGCATCCCAGCAACACTTCCAGATCCCCTATGTCATAGAATCATAGAAAGTTTTGGGTTGGAAGGGACCCCTAGAGGTCATCTAGTCCAACCCCCTGCAGCGAGCAGGGACACCCCTAACTAGATCAGGTTGCTCAGAGCCCTGTCCAGCCTGGTCTTGAATGTTTCTAGGGATGGGGCCTCCACTACCTCTCTGGGCAACCCGTTCCAGTGTTTCACCACCC